CTCCCTCTGACCCTCCCCCCTCTCATGCTCTCTCTCTCTATCTCATTCTCTCTCTCAAATAAATAAAAAATCTTTAAAAAAAAAAGGAATCCTGAAACATTTCAAGAAATTTTATATGAAGATTGTAAAGTTTTCTTTAAAAATAAATATATATGAAAATACTCATGTTTTTGCAGGGAAAATTGTGGTTAAATGTTCCAATTTCCTATGCCTATAACTTGAAATGAAATAATATATCATAATTTATATCTCTGATATACAGATCTACCGATAAAATCTGTGTATAATCATATATATTAAACTTTAATATATGTAAATACATAAGCATATGCATTTAGTGTATCAGAATAAAGTTTAATTATTTACATACATAAATAGCATACCTCATAAGTGTAGTTAGGACATGAAACCAGGAAAAACATCCATGTGAAGGGGTTATAATTTGGACTTGGAAAACAGGCATTAATTCCTTTTAGAAAGAAGAGTAAAATATCAATGATGCTACATATTGTAAATTTAATCATATATGTCTTATATGATTCTAAATTCCCTAGAATAACTTATACAACATAAAATGCCATCATATATTTATAGAAACCTATTTCCCAAATTACTTAGAAGAATTCCAGTTTCAAATGTTATGACCTTTTGACTCAAACAGAATACCTGTCATTTTCTATGTCTATAGCTATGTTGATGATAATCAGTTCTTTAAAATTCAATATATAAATGTTATTTTGCATAATAGATGCAGCTGAATTGTACACTGAAATCAGTAAATGTGCTTTAACAATTGCATGCCTCTTCTCTTTTAGTGTTAAAGGCAATGATTTGGTTGAGATTATTAAATACTTCAAACATCCCTTTCTATTTAATTAGTGAAAATCCAAAGGGAATTTTGTAAGGATGTCATTTATATTAGGAAAGTGTGAAAATCTCTCATAAGAGGATTACAGTGAATATCAGCATAGTTAATATTCAGAAATACCACATAAATTATTTCTGCTCAGCAATCAGGATTGTGATTTACAGTTTTCATTATACTTACCATATTGTCGCTTGATTTTTGTGATTTTTTTTGCCTTTTAACTTCTTTCAAGAAATATTTTAGATAACAAATTTATAAAGATTTCAAGTTGAACTTTGAGCAATGACACGACACTTGTAAAAGTAAATATGAATTATAAATTACTGTTTATTCTCTATAGCAAATTTAATCAAATAACACATCAACTAATCTCTTTTAGTTATAATTCTAAAGTCATAATGAAATGTCAGTATTTTGTTTTCAGACTTGTAACTATCGTTAAACTATCAAAGTAAAAAAATATATTAGGTACTGTGCAGATTTCATGTACTGCTCATTTCAACATAAGGATAAAAACATACCATTTAATATTACAGATTCTCTTGATAACTTACATGCAAGTTCCTTTGTGTAATGTCCATATATTCATCAAAAGATAAGTGATTGAGGAACCTACTATCCATGTTATAGAAACTGAATTTCAGAGGTGGAAGATACACACAAGATAATCTGGGTTAAACCTAGTTTATGACTGTTCAGCCTCTAGTGGTGGTGGAAATGTTCAGGGATCCACAAATACACATTTCTTCTAGTTTGTAAATTTAATAACCAAAATGTCTTAGGACCCAGAAAAATATATGTATATAGATACTGTCTCATGTATGTATTTACTGTTAATTTTAAGGTGTAAGTCTAGATGTTACTAATTTAATACTTACAAGCCCATGAAATGCTTTCTCAAGCTATAGTTACTATTAATAATAGAGCTTCTATTAAATAAAAGTCAGAGGATTTTTTACATTACAACGCTGCACCACACAGAATCTTCTTCAGGTATAAAAGTTTATTCCACAGCTTCAGGGATAACTCCTGGCAGAAAACTTTCAACCCTCAGCACCCTCTATAAAGATTGTCTGGCAGAAGGGAGAAACCTCACCCAAGGTCACACTCATTCTTTGGTATAGCCTTAATCCAATATTTATCAATGTGGTAAATTGAGGACTCAACTCAGAATAGCATTGATTGTTCATCCTAGCTGTAGAATGCCCCTGAGGTTCATCTGAAACTCCGCTTGAAACTGTATGACTCTCAATTTCTTCCCCAAACATGACTTATTTTTTTTCCCATTCATAAAATCACTCTCTAAGAAACCTCCTGAATGCTAAACTCCATTTCAGCATCTGCATCCCAGAAAACTGAACCAACAATAGCTGCCACCAGGAATGGCCCCCAAAGCAGATAATGGATTGGCATTTTAAAGTGGAATGACCTACTGAAAAGCCTGCAATGAGTACTGCATCACTGATGGTAGGTCTTGAACAGATAACTGCTGGTACAAGAGTAGCTATGCAAGTGTAAAGCCTTTTACCAATGGTGTGCTGGCATGCTATTATGGTGGAAAGGAATGCGTTATTTGGTCCAATGGAATTAAGTGGTGATCACTATCAGTGCTCTTGATAAAAATAGCTAAAAACTGAAATTAACAATTGGCAATTAAAATCCAGCTGTGAAAGCTAGAGGGCCTCATCAGAGAAGCTCTGATCTCTTGCAATGAGAGAAAGGCAGAGAAAGCTGAGGACCAGGCCAAGGACTTACTTGCAAGAGTAGTCAGGCTCCAAAGAAAAAAGACTTCCAATCCAAACTTGGTCTGCTAAGCCCAGGTTGTTGTTCACAAAATCTTGGAATATATAGATTTCCATGAACTCCCTGAACCTACAGAAGTCACCCACTCCTCCCTATTAAAAGTTAGCACACCCCCTTGCTTAAAGGCAATACATATGCCACTCTGTTGCAAGAAAATTCCCTCTAAGATCTTCTCCATGTACTTTCTTAACTCCTATGCTATAGGCTAGGGTTATAGTACAATATAACCTACCAGAGTTTGTTCTGGACTGATAAGGGAAAAAAAAAAAGAATTATGCCCCAATGGACCTACAGAACTCAGCTCCCATGAACTAGCTAATTATGGAAGAATGTATGTACATGTGATTGGATTCTGAGGGTACTTGATAAGAAAGGCAAAATATAAAATTGGACAACAGTAGGTTTATGATGTTGGCACAGTCTTCTGGGACATAGGAAATAATGTTCTGCTAAAATGGTACAAACACGCTAACATGCGTCTGGAAGTATGAACAAAGTAATGGCACATAGTAAGTGAGGAAGAAATGTTAAAATTCCATGGCAAGCAGGGGACAAAATATATCAAAGGGCTTGGAAAAGTGGGGATCCTAAATTAGTCTATATAAGGCTGTAAAAGGAAGACCCTTTTCCGTGGGAGAAATTTTTTTTTCATGTTCTATATTCCCATGTTCTTTCCTATGTTCCATAGAACTTTTCCAAAGCTATAATGAATGTTTTAGTGAAAGGGGCACCACCAGCACTAAGATTAGTGTTATGTCTCTGCTATTCCAGGCTGAGTATAAGTGATGTCATCTTAAAACTAGGATGGACTAGTTGTGATTGGGATTTAAGGATCCTTCCCTCCCCTTTTCCCAAATCAAAAGCATTTCTAGTTGCAGCACTTACCTGTCATAAGCCAGAATGTGTAGTAAATTCAGAAGAAGCTTGATCCACAAAGCGTTGTGGCTAGTTATAATAATGCAATGTTCCTAGAGGCTAGCTAATGTTTACCTAACAGTACTATTTTTGAATTTAGGTAAAATAAGAGATGAATAGTCCAGAGATTTGGAGCAGCTAACTTAATATAAAATTCCTTTCCCACTTTTTGGACTTTAACCAGTTGTAAGACACTAAACTCATTGGTAGAAGAACAACCTGGAACTCAGAAAAGAAGACCCTGCAACACCAAAACAAGTATCCATGAAAATTTTATCCTCTAGATGAGGATCTAGGTAGGGGCACCTGGGTGACTGGCTCAGTAAGGTAAGCATCTCTTGATTTCAGCTCAGGTCATGATCTCAGGATTATGAGATCGAACCCCATGTTGGGCTCCATGATGGGCATGAAACCTGCTTAAGATTCTCTCGCTCCCTCTCCCTTTGCCCCTCCCCGCTTAAAAAAAAAAAAAAAAAAGTGAAGATCTAGGCCATGCCAATAGGTAATCCCTGAGACATTAAATGTTCATGTTGAGGGTAAAAGGAATTTAGCAGTTTGTGGAGGAGGAAATTAGTACAAATCAGTTGTCATACCAAGACCATACATTTGTCGGATTCCTAATTTGGATATGGGTTAGCAAATAAAACCTTTGTGTTTGTGCCCTACCCAGGGGACTCCCCAGATTCTGAACTTGAGCTGGGCTAAGAGGAATCCATGAGGTGCTATCTGGCCAGACTTAAGTGGATTCTATTTCCTTGGTTCTCCCTCTACCTAGGACTGCTCATTTTATTGTCCCCTCTTCTAGATCAGTTCTCCTTTGATTTGGATGTGTTGAGGTTTGTTGAGGAGGTTGGAGAGTAGATTAGCAAAATTCCAAGAGCGAAATTACAGTGTGTTAGAGTGTGGGGGGAAAATTAAGTCTTATTTTTTCCCTACATGGGATACAACACTGTGAAATTCAATCTTCAACAAAGGCCCTGCAATTCTCCTAAAACATAGTTCTTTGTTTCTTTCTTTAACAAAGTTAAGCTAGTGTTAATAAATTAAAAAGAGAAATTGCTTGTCTGTCCACTTCAGCTTTGTTTTATGCCCATTTCATATTGTTGTTTGTGTTGTAATTCATACTTTGGATACCATTTCTGATGTGTAAAATTGGTTGTCTTGTAAATATCTTATAAAGAGTTCAATTGTAAATAAACTACTGTGGCTGTTAAAAAAAAAAAAAAAAGCTGTGTACTCTCCCACTAGCATATCTCTTTTATTTTATTTTTTTAAGATTTTTATTTTTATTTATTTGACAGAGAGAGACACAGCGAGAGAGGGAACACAAGCAGGGGGAGTGGGAGAGGGAGAGTCAGGCTTCCCACAGAGCAGGGAGCCTGATGCGGGGCTCAATCCCAGGACCCTGGGATCATGACCTGAGCCAAAGGCAGACGCTTAATGACTGAGCCACTCAGGTGCCCCAGCATGTCTTTTTTAAATTTCCCATACTCTGGTTTCTCTTCATATCATATAAATCTTTCACCTTTTTTTAAATTTCCCCCAGAAAGAGAGGCCTATTGGCATCCTGACAGGGCTACTCAAAGAAAGTATACAAAGCGGATCCGTGAAAATAAAAAAAAAGGAAGAGACTGTGATGGTTTCAGTGATACACTGCCAAGATCCCCAGTGGGTGTGATAATTTCCATAACTTGTAAGTGCTAGTAGCAGAAAGATTTCAACTATCAGACCCGCTGAGAGGATGGCCTTGACTAAAGAGAGCTGCCTTATCCTTGGTCATTCACATTTCCCAGAGAGATCCATACCTAAATTACCCTTCTTTTTCTAGTCATTCCAACATAAGACAGCTCAGAAAGATTATTCTAGCTTCAGATACCCCTATAGAATTGACTGAGGCCACCCATGAAATGGCATCAATTTCTCACTTAGCAAAATTCTCCTTCCTTCCCTCTTTTCCATACTTTGTAATAACCTTCTTTTAAACTTATTCTATATCAGATTGTGTCTCCTGGGGAACACATTTTGTGACACCTTGTTTAAATAATATATATTAAATGGTCCCCCAATACATAATTTATGGCTAAGGCACATCTAGGAAAAAGATATTACCACAAAGTTTAATTAATACATAATGGGGAATAAAAATTCAGGAGCAGCAGAAAGTTTTTCAAAGCCAGCAAAAGAACTGATATTTTAAAAAGGAGTTTATGAAGAAAAAAAGAATTCTATACTGTATGTATAGAAATCTAGAATTCATGGTGAAAAAAAGTGGGTCTACCCTGAGAAATTGTCTGATACTTGATAGATCAGAACACTGGATATGAAGAACTGAAATGAGATGAAATGATTTGAAAGTAGTGAGACCAGAAGGTTTTCATCTTAGAAAGCACTGCTCCCATGAAAAGAAAAGTAGTATTGGAGAGCAGTTCATGGGGAAGACATTGCTTGGAGGCTTAGAGGAGAAGGAAAAGAAGGAAACCGTTCTGGGAATTGTGGGATGTATAGAAAAAGGAGTGTTTAAAGAATCAAAAGACACAATAAAGAAACCCCCCATCCCTTCCAGAATACACTTTAGGGACTCCTCTTCAAGCATCCCATCTGTAAAAAACATTTGTTATTTCTCTTTTAGGACAATCCATACACTTAAAAATGAACATAAGTTGACCGGCATTCATATAAGCTTTTTATGTCAATAAAATAGAAAGTTCCTTTTTCCATGCTGATAAAAATACCCCTCAAAAAAAAGAAAATTGAAAAATTTTAACAGAACATGCCTACACAGAAGCATTTGCAGGTACTAGAGGACATAACTATTAAGAATTCCAAAACTCAAAATAGATATGGCCAACAAGAAAGGAAAAAAGATGAAAGGTGATTGTACTCAAGAAAGAAATTGTAGGACGCCTGGGTGGCTCAGTCGGTTAAGCAACTGCCTTCGGCTCAGGTCATGATCCTGGAGTCCCTGGATTGAGTCCCGCATCGGGCTCCCTGCTCGGCAGGGAGTCTGCTTCTCCCTCTGACCCTCCCCCCTCTCATGTACTCGCTCTCTCTCATTCTCTCTCTCTCTCAAATAAATAAATAAAATCTTTTAAAAAAAAAAGAAAGAAATTGTAGAAAAAGAAAAAAAGTCATTTCAGTAATATAGACATTTCAATTTGCCTAAGAGTGGAATGTTCAATAGAATAGAGGATATTAAGTAGATTAACAAAAACAACCAAAAACAAAGAAAAAGCTAAAAATAGAAATTGATAAATATTAACATATAAAGATATAACATATATAATTTACCCCCCTGATAAAGTCCACAATGCAACAAAACAAATTTTAAACTATGAGAAAACTTTCTAGAACTAAAAAAAAAAAAAAAAAAGACATGAATCAACCTACTGGAAGTTTACATCATGTTTCTGGGAAAATTGACCTGAAATTACGAACTCTAAAACATACCCTACAAAATTAATAGACTTAGTGGTAAAGAAAAAATCTTTTGAGTCTCAAGGCAAAAAGACCAAATCAATTAACAAAGAAGAGATTAGATTGGCCTCTGATTTCTCAAGAGCAATATATAAGCAAGACAAAGGGTGGAGTAAACACTGAAGAAAAAAGTCTTTTTCACATGAACAATTCCAAAATCATGTTTGACTTCAGAAACATGATGATTTAAAATTTTCATTTTCAAATCATGATACCATAATCCAAATAGATGAAGAAACTTGAGCAAGGTGACACTGTTAAAGGGTCACAGTTAAGACTAAATTACTAATGTTCATAACTTTGGCAATCCTAGTATTTTTACAGGACTGTATTGTGTTTCTACACTAAAAACAAATCAGACTATCAGAAGGTTTTCAATTGGGCTTCAAATACATCCAAAGAGAACTCAGCAAATCTATGAATTTAGGTCAGATAAAAATGGCATCCATCCATTTAAGGAAATGTAGGCTCTTCTTTAATGCAAAAGCAGACAATAAACCACAATAGCATTGGCATTAATCTGTTAATATTTTTCAGCAAGATAAAGTACAAATATTTTCAAGTTATATTGTAGTTATTTTAGATATCTATATATATTTCTATCTGTCTCTGGATATATGGTCAATAGTCAAAAAAATTGACTATCACAGTATTATGTAATGTAATAAAACATGTTATATATTATAGCTGTTTTATATATTCATAAATGTTCTAACATAGTAAATTTCCTTTGTGATTCTATATATTATATGAAAAAAAATATTTTGGAAAGTGTTTCACCAACCTGCCAGAAATGCGCAAGGTAAGAAAATGTTAAGACATTCAGGTAGATGTTAAAAAACACTTGAGGCAAATGCACCTTCATATTTGCAACTAGACTGATAACAACATGAAATCCAAATGTTGACCATTGCCATTTAAAATATAATTAAATTATGTGTCATATACAAAACTCAGTATGAATCCATACCTATAATTAAACCTGAATGAGAGGATTAATTTACCAAGAATATCTTTATATAAACGCTGTGAATTTTGTGAAATACTTTTAACTAACTACTAAATTCAAAATGTCCTCCCAGGCATTGCTATCTCAGAGCTACTGAATTTGTCAAAGATCACTATTATTAAAAAAAGTTTAAGTCACTTGAAATACCGTGAGGTTATATCAATTATTATGAAAATTAGATCAAGATTGAGAGTTAAGCTAAAAAATTGGCATTTATCACTGGATTTTATACTGCCTTAGTTCTTAATCATCTGTTTATTTTTTACATATTTAAGTGAGATTGTCATTTGATGTGGGGGGCATGCACATTTCATTTTAGAAAAACCATTATTAGAAAAGACGATTTAGTTGGGGCGCCTGGGTGGCTCAGTTGGTTAAGCGAATGCCTTCGGCTCAGGTCATGATCCTGGAGTCCCAGGATCGAGTCCCGCATCGGGCTCCCTGCTCAGCAGGGAGTCTGCTTCTCCCTCTGACCCTCCCCCG